AAAATATGCAATGTTTCTAAATTAGAACATTCACATGTTAAAACAACGACAACAACAACAAAAAAAAAACATGTACCCTTTGCGCTCAAGGTAGAGCTCGCGACCTCTCGTACAGCAACCGTGGTCTTTATCAAATGAAATAAAGCACAAACTTACTTCATTTTTTTTTTGAAGTATTGAACCCTTGCACGTGTTTCGTGTTAATAAGTTTTAAGATCTGGGCTTTTGATTAAGACAAAAAAACAAAAAATAAATATAAGATTAACCTGAAAGTTATTGAACAATACAAATTCTCTCTCTAAACAACAACAAAAAATAATGATGAGAAAATATTTGTTTTAATTAACTTGGAAAATTTTAAAATGTTCTTCCAATTACATAGAAAATTCCCATTACAAAAAGTACTGTAGAACCTAGTAAAACCTAGTAGATATCTGGTTAGGGCGTTTGAATCGTGATCTGAGGGTTGCGGATTCGAGTCCCCCGTCCCACCAAACATGCTCGCGCCCTTTTAACCGTGAGGACGTTATAAAGTGACGGTCAATCCCACCATTCGTTGTTAAAAGAGTAGCCCAAGAGTTAGCGGTAGGTGGTGATGACAGCTAAATTAGGGACGGCTAGTGCAGATAGCCCTCGTATAGCTTTGCGCGAAATTCAAATCAAACAAACAAACTTATCTTTATCTGTGGTAAGAGATGATAGTAAACCCGGATGTACACTTTATCAAAGGCATTCTGTGAGTATTCTTATCTAAATCTGTATTTCTGTCATTATGTACAAATGTCTCTCTTTATCTGTCCATAGATATTGACTCAGAAAAACAGAGGAATAGAACACTAGCCTAAACATATTACCTTATTATAATTTTTGTTCACTGTTAAATGCTTAAAATAAATAGCAGATTTTTTTTTTGCAATATGTAGAGATCGCTGATAACATATTGTTCATTTGAAGACATTTTTCGTTAACGCATTCTTAACCTTTATTTGAAAAAAATTAATAGTGTTTTATTGTAAAGCTTCTAGTTTATTAGTATAATAACTTTCTAAATTGTCCTAACTGTAAATACTGTTTATATTTCGAATGTTTAGCAAACTCAGTGGAAAACAATAAAAAAAGTTTTAATTTGTTTACTAATTTCAATTAAAAATACAATAAATTTGTGAATTATAAGTTTTAAATAATGATTAGAAAATAAACTGTGTTTCATACCGTATATAAACACGTGAGAATAAATATTTCAGTTTTCCCTGTAAATCGGTGATGTTTTCATACATTTATCTTTAAAAAAACACTTTACATATTATAACTGCCTCAGACGTGGACTTTAATTATTTCAATGTAAGTGCACATGTTCTACTGTAAACATCAGTTATTATTCCTAATAAAATAATTATCTTTTGTTGTTGGTCAAAATAAACGAATTATGTGAAATACAATAGTAGTATGCAGTGATCGTAGAAGATGATTAATTAAACTATTCGAAGATTCAAAATATTAAATAAAAAGATATGTTAGATGAATGTGATAAGGACATGATCAGCAAGTATTAACTTGAAATTACTTTGAAGCTTTAACTAATATTAATAATATCTTCATAGTTATTATAATAAAACAGAAGTGTCTGGCGGTTTCTTTTTCTTACCGATTAACTTTACTCACTTATTATTGTTATCATTTTCTGACGAAGCTGCGTTCATCAAGCACATTGTCTAGACAAGCCCTAAGCCCTTACGTAATCAGTACGATAGTTTCGCACGGGCATAAAAAAAGAATTGGACAAGATCAGCTGGTACATTAGCATTTTTTCAACTTTCTTTAAATCCACAGGACGATTGATCTGAATTTTTGGCTTTGGCGTGATTGATGACAAGGAATAACCAGTGGATAAAACGTATCGTTTAGATGGTCTGTTTTTCTCTAAATTACCTTTTTATAGTGATTTAGTGTGGCAGAATAAAGAAGTCTATTACGCCTGTTTGAATATAAATGTCTCTGAAAAGATTCGGGGCTTACTGTCTAGTGACCGTTTGGTATACATGCATGAATGGAACAGCTGACATTATCAGTGAATTCCATCCATTAGAGGTTTCAAGGGTGTTAAAAAATGAAAGGCAGACTTCCTAATTTAAACATCTTCTTTAAGCTCTATTCCACGTTCTCTTAACCTTATATAATTACGCTTGCATACACACTCGCATACACGCGTATGTAAATGGTGTAAAATTAGAATTATGACCCACATCGACGGTAGTATAATGTAATTTAATACACTAGAGTTTAAACAAGGGAGGGAAAACGTCGCTAGTGAGGGAACAAACATTATTTACGGCCTTTTTTTTTTCTTCTTCTGTTGATGCTCTGCAAGTTAAGGAAAAGTTTCTAATAAATCATTCTCTATTTACATCCTCGATAAGAATAAACAAAGATACATAATTTATTTTACGTCAACGTTTTGTCAGTGTTCGTTTTGCAAACGTTTTTTATTTCTGTGTCATTTATCATGAAAGATATTTTTTTAAAAGGTTTAAAAACTACTCTTTAAAGCAATATGTATATTTGAATTGTGCAAATACTTCCATACTCCCAGCTATGCATTATAATATTTTCTATAAACGATCGATCAACCCACGTAGATTAAACTCCTCAAGTCAACGGAATTATCCTCCTCGTACCAACTTCAAGTAGTAATTTCGAATGTAGTTTAGTAAACCAGCGAGAATCGGATGCAGTGTCTGGCATGAAAACGTCTCACCAAGCGCTTTATGTCCAATAATGTTGGTGTGTTCGAAGCTGTTGGTATCAAAAGGAATAATCCTAAACTCGTAATAATCACACCTGAACGAAAACAATAAACTACGACAGTTAATTGAGTATAGTTAGAAATAAAGGGGTTTCGGGAGAAAAAATATACCATAGAGTCAAAAATTGAAAATTTTAACAGGCTTACAATTAAGTAAAGAAATAGAACTATTTTAACTAGACGTGGTTAAGTAAATTATACCATAGAGTACTTAATTGTAAACCTGTTAACATTTTCATTTTTTTTTAAAGAAATTGAACCTTTTTTAACTAGACGTGGTTAAGTAAGATTCGGTAGCTTCTCTTTCATTCTAGGGTTTTCATAGGTATTTCTTATTTTTCTGTTACTGTTACAGCATTTTAAGATTAAATTTTAGTATATACACTTATTTCAAGTGTTTGGTAATCGATGTAATATTAAACTAAATAGTAAAAGTGAAATAGTATCTTAAAAATATTAAAAAACACTCATTCTGTGCACATCAGTTAGTTTTATTTAGTGCTTCCATAAGTGAAAGCATTGTATTTTATCATAAAAAATATGAAGAAACTAGCAGTGCAGAGATACTGATATATGCAAGTGTTAGCAAATTTGTACCATTTTACCACGCTATTTTCATTGCGTAGCACATTTTTAAGACTTGTATTTGTAACATTTATTCTTCCACACGTAATAATTATAGAGTTTTATTTTTTTTAGAACAAATTAGATTTATTGGTGAATTAAGCTCTAACTTTCAGAATAGTTTCAATGTCATTGTTCATTCTTCTTCATAATTCTTTTGCTATCTAAAGTTTTCAGATTGTATGAGCTAATATATTAAAATGCTTTTCTTAGTAAAATTGGTCCGGTCCAGGTAGTTAGTTAGACTCGCAATCTGAGGGTCGCGGATTCGAATCCCCGTCACAGCCAACAGCTTTCAGCCGTGGGAGCGTTATAATGTGACGGTCAATCCCACTATTCGTTGTTAAAAGAGTACCCCAAGAGTTGGCGGCGGGTGGTGATGACTAGCTGCCTTCCCTCTAGTCTTATACTGCTAAATTAGGGACGGCTAACGCAGATAGCCCACGTTTAGCTTTTCGCGAAATTCAAAACAAACCAATCTAAGTAAAATCTAATAATGAGTAGTTAGTTACTTTAGATTTCCTTATGTTATATATAAACCAAACAAATTTGATCCTGAAGAAATTATCATAGAAATGCTTTGGGTATATATTATATTGAAAGGTACAGTTAGAATCTTCAAAGCCTAGATATTAGTTCGTTCGTTACGAACGTTCCACATATTTCTAGCTTCGAAGAACATGGTAATAATTACAAATATTCTATCTTTAATAAGAATATTGGAAAATATTCAATATGGTCTCTATTCGACTACCATAGGAAAAGAATAAACTAAAACAAAATATGAATTCGATAGAGCCGTATTAGCTATACCTCAAAATAAATTATCCAAATTATAGGTTGAAGAGCTACAATAGATTGTAATACATAATTAATACATGCCATAAGTGTTTTAATATTTGTTTTCTTGAAATACGGTAACCAAACGTATACCAGTTAAAGTTATTAAATGATGAAGATTTAACACAGTGACACATTAATCCAAAGTACGTACGTTATTAGTTTGAAATTTAAAACTTGTAGTATAATTCTCACAAAGCGGGGGGAAGGAAGCATGGAAGACGTTTATTAATTCTAAAAGTTCCATTCAGAGTTTTCATATTAAAACACATATTTTAATATTCTAATTTCTGTTTTATGTAAGAGCTTATTCGTCCTCAAGAATATTTAGTTTATACGGCAGCGTTTTTATATTTTACATCATATGTAGTCTATAACTGTTTTACTTATTTGTAGATCGTTTATTTTGGATGACTTTTTAAAAATTAACAAAATAAAACAATTACTTAACTTATAAACGGAGTCATCTGCTTTACATAGCTTATAACTTTGTGAGCAAACAAAACACACCAGAAAATCGCAGTTTTTGCAGAGATACCAAATAATAATTTAATCTTCATTGCCTATTGAATTATTCTTGACTTTTATCTATATATGAATAACAAAATCTCTTTGCGCACCTGGAAATCAGAGTCAAAGATAAAAATATAAGAATGAAATTGTGCAAATTCCTGTATAAATTAATACCATGATTAACACGAATACTATTTTCACTAGACTAAAATTATTTGACCTTTGACCCTGACGTTCGTAAGATGGCGGCCTCTTATGAGCACAGCGATATTGAATAAGCCCCTGTTGGTGATGTGGGCATTTTGGATAAGACTGCAGTAGATGCAGGCATATTGGATGACGTCACTTCATCCAGATATAACGATACTCCATTTGACGGCTCTTTCCTGTTTTGGATTATGATAGACATATATTCATGGAGAGTCTCTTCCAACACATTTGATTAGAACAAGGTATGAACCAGAGAAGTCCCTCCATGACTGTCATACAGTTTTAGGCTAAAACCACACACACCACGTCAAGGCGTTGTCCTTTAGTGACTTTATCCAGCTTTTATTTTCTTTATCGTCAGTATAAACACGAAGGTTCTTCGGGAAAACAGTGATCACGAAAGTAGAGAGAGAAACAAATTAATCATACATTGGAACTGACGAAGTTTATTTCCTTGTACGCCAGAGACCCAAGGCCTAATGTGAGGCTTTCGCCCACGCCAGGGACTTTAGACCCATTCACACACACTTCATCTGTTTTGTTTTAATTTTTGTACTAATCCAATTATGTATCGGGTAGTAGATTCAATATACTCTTTGGATTGCTTCCAAGTCATCATACTCATCTTGTTTTTATTATTTGTCATTTGGTTGTTAGTGTGAGTTTGTGAATGAAGTCGGAAATACGTTGGTTATATAGTTTTAACCTTCTCAGATAACCTTTCTATTTTTGTTCTTATAATTGGTAAGAATGCTTTGTATATTATTTGCTTAGCAATTCGTTTAGGTATATATCTCTCAACTGCTAGATTATTAATTAATACCAGGTATTGTTTTGTTTCAATACCTCAAACCATAGAATATCTCGGCTTAGAGCACATTTATTTTTGTTTTATATTGTATACGCTCAGAACAATCACCCCCATCTTTTTCTTTGGATCTATTAACATTCAGTGAATTTTATTATCAGTACAGGGTGCTCGAAAAGTCTGGAACCATAGTTAATTGCAGCTTTTCTATTTCAAATACGTGACTGTTTATATCGTTGTCAAAGCATAAGAAGGTCGAGTTAATCCAGCTGTTAATCCAAACTTGTTTCGAATTACAAGGACATCATGTGGATTACATTCTGTAACATTCGTTGAAGTGCCTATCGTTTAAAACTTTTTGGACACCCTTTAGTATTTTTATTGTTGGAGCTGCTTTCACTAAATTCATTGTTCTTACCAAAGATATATATTATACTTGAACTTTTTTATTTAATTTTTGTCCTAGAAAAATAGTTTTCTCTTTTTTATTTCATGCATAACATTTCCATGGCCTCTTATAATTAATAGCTTCGAGAAAGGCATTTCATCCAAGCTCTACAGTTTAGGTTAATTAGGAACTTTGCAATTAACAGTATCAAATGGCCTAACATAGGGATATGAGTCACTTTTACACACCTAGTATTGGCGAGCATGAGCAAGGTTTAATTAATCACGCGTTATTCAGAACTCATGTTATTGACTCAGAGAATATTTTAGTTACAAGTGACTCAGAGCAAATATGTCACTCACCAGAAACTCAGAATACCTGCTAATAATTCAAAAGTGATGAACGACTATTGTTAGTTATTCCTAAGGTATTGTGAATTATATCTTTTTTTCTGCAAAAGTTATGCCTTCCTTTGTGTTACCGTACGTGGGAAAATCATCTGAATATAACTGTACGGTACGTACAAAAATTTATAACGTCAAAATTATATTCAAGAAGCATGTTAGGTTTAGTAAAAGATATATTTTTATTCATTAACATCACATCAGAATTACTAGAGGTATTATTATAAACATGTAACCTGCCTTTGAAGTTGAAACAGATAAAATTAGAATAGAAATAAACTGTTTCCAGACATCCAACGAATTTGTAAATATGCAGTTATAAACAACTTAATATTTTTTAATACAAAGCTACACAATGGACTACTTGTGCTGTTCTCACAACAGATATCGTAACTAGTTTTTAGAGTTGTAAGCCTTCAGACTTTTGGCTGAGCTACTAACGGCTTACAAATACGTAAAGCAAAATATTTACATGAGTATCAGCTTAATCATCTTTCGTGATTTAGATCTAATAATTTCAAATTATGCTAATTCTAGATGGTGTGATTTATCACTAATACAACTATAACATCTATTGTTCATGTCATACTTATCTTACTAATAGCTTGTATTTTAGAGAGGGTTGAGTAAGTTATATTAAAATGATTTTGATTATGCAAAGCAGAAAGTCGCATGACAACCACGGTCTATATAACTTCGCGGTAGAATGAGATGTATTAGTACTATATTTTGACATGACCTGGCGTTTTGTAGCTAGTCTGATACCATAAAAAATTGATAGCTTGTGGGAAGGGCATGTAACAGCCGTTGTGAACAGAAAATATTTATACACTTCATATATAGTCGGCTTGAGGTTTTGAAGTTTCTACGACGAGGATGTCTCTTTTAGTTAATGACATAGAAAAACAAAATAATATGGATCAACTTGGAACCTCAAGACTATATAAAAAGAGACCTGCAACAAGTCGTACCCCAGCCTTGGTAAGCAATGTGCAGCATCTTATGAGAGAAGAGATTCCACGAACACAAGGTTCAGTAGCAAAAGCCCCAGGAAATTTTACGCAACATAATCAAGAAAGATCCCCGTTTGTTGAAAAAACACAAATTGCTTCCACAACATGTGTTCAACCGTCATATATCTTAAGCAGTTGGATAATGAATCGAGTATTCATTATATTGCATAAGAAATCATCGAATTCAGCGCCGATTGATTTCTTTGCAATTGAACTGTTGTAAAGGGCGCTTTGAAACTATCGTCCAAGATAGTTTTAATACAATGTACTTAAAACCTATGAACTACGAAAAGACATTATAAATTCAATAGTGAGTTTTAACTTTATATTTGAAAACAAGTACTTTAATTAATAATCAATACACTCAAAATAAAATCAAGCCTACTTTGTAGACAATTTACACCGAAAACATCTACCTTGGTTTTGGATTATATATAAACATGCAAGAACTGAAAAAAATAGCGTGACTTAGTATATTATTACACGAAATACAAGAAAGGAAGACTTGTTTTTTAGTCTATTATGTTCATTACACTGTAATCACATAGACACTGTAATAAATGCATGGAATAAAATACGTACACGTTTCAAATGTAATAAATTATTTTGACGCTTACAGTTAAATTATTCATGCACAATCTATAATAATAAAAGGGCGAGTCTGTGTGTGAGTGACCACCATAGCTCCGAAGGGAAATAACCTAGGAAACTGAAATTTTGCACCCATACTAAGTAGACACTGAGGATGTGCACCTGGGTATTATTATTATTTATCTATGCGTGCGCATCTTTTTATGAGGCAAGCTAGCTAAAAACCATATAGAAAAGAAATGACCGTCACAGCTCCAAAATGAAAGAACCTAGAAACCTAAAATTTTGCACCCATACTATATGAACCCTGAGGATGTGCACCTGGGTATTATTACTTTTTTTTCATGTGCGTGCGCGCATGCGCGTGTACATCTATTTAATGGGGCAAGCTAGCGAAAAATTGCAAAGAAAAGAAATGTTTATGTTTCTGAGAAATAAAAATGTTTAACATATTTTTGACTGCTCTTCTATGGTAAAATAGGTTCAGAATACACAAACTTACACAGTTAATGGTTTACACCTAATCATTTCCACTTACTCTAATAATTTTTGATGTGATTCAACACTAATACAACTGTAACATCAATATGCCACTCTCAGTTAATATTTCTGACTGATTTATTTTTGTTTGTTTTATTTCAAATGAATTATTAACTTGTGTATTTAGCACTATACATTTATATTATACAATACTAAAAATGGTAGGCATGTTTTCGTACAGAACTTACATTAAATAAGTTTTATCGAAAAATATTTTTGTCGATTTTTGCTAGACCTATATGTGTGTGTGTGCTATAACATAAGCAATCCCACAGGATACATTATCGGTGCACTATGGGCAAGTCAGAAGTGAATAAATAATGTGATTCAATAGCGTATTTCCTTTAACAAAAGTTACATGTGCTTATTTGTTCATCTAAATAATAGAGCAGCTACTACTTTACTGTTATGTAGACTTGCTACTAACCTTGCTTTAAGTTTAAATAAATCAATATATATATATTTACACTACTGAGCGATAATTACGTCGAAGAATCCAACTGAGTTATACATTTTTACCAGTGACTGTTTATTTTATAAAGTATATACAAATATTAGCACTTTCTGAGATAACAAAATCGGTCTTTTCATCAAATATATACAGTTGTACATATAAAATCTGGCTACAAGTCTCCGAAAAGATCATGAGTGAGTTTCCTGCCCTGACTAATAACGCATCAGTGACCACATCGTATATTGTCACCCAGTGCCTCTGAGGTTCATGGGTAAACCTGATGGATTATAACGCTAAAACTCGCGTTTCAATATCCGCGGTGGGAAGAGCACAAAAAGTTCATTCTGTACTTTTGTGCTTAAGAGCAAACAAACGTTAACTTCACCAGAGTTTTGAATAGAGAGCGGAAACTCACATATTCGTGTAGTTAAAACCGATAATCTGGTTTTTGAAGTCTTGTAGCAATGCCGTGAACTTTTGCTAATTCTGTATGCATCACATTAGATTTTTGTTTTTACACCGCTTTCACTATATCCGTATACACCAGTTCACTATTTGTGTATACAGACACGTCAGTAGCAATTCTGGAAAATTGAAAGATGGGCCTGGCTGACTACTTATCTCAATATAATAACTTGTAATGAGCGCAACATTATTAGCTGCCATCGTGTTCGATTTATAACAAGATGGCAGCCTCCGTGGCGCAGTCATATTGGTAAATGATCCCCCCTCTCGATGTAATGACATCAGTTCACTTTTAAGTCTCGGCACAACAGAATTCGTAAAAAAAAAAATACTTTCTGATTTATTCAAATATTAACGTTAATTGCACAATGAAACATAAGCAAAGTTTCCTGGACAGAATGTAAATCTATACTTATAAGGGTTAAAAGGTCTTATATTTATCAACTAGTCACCTTGATCTCTTCAAGAATAATATTTTATAATTGTTTAAATCTGTCTAGCTTCCCGTATATATCATGAATATTTAATTGTTTGGTAAAAGATAATCACACAAGGTTACAAGGGGGGGCTCGCAATCCACTGCAACAGAAAACGTTCTGCTCTTTAGAACTGTAGGTGCGTTATAAGAATGATTCTGAAATCTCACTACTCGAGCAAAAGATAGCAGCCCAAGAGTTGATATTTTTAAGCATTTTTTGTGTGTTAGTTGAAATAGTAATAGTATATTAGAATGTAGAATATATTGATTATTAAATAATTCGAAAAGTGTGCAACAACCAAAACAATATCGATATTTCTTTAATCTTTATTTATAAGACAATACTGTGGTCTAACACAAGACTGA